ACTCTGATGAACATAAGAGAGGGACAGAAGTTGGCCAGAATGTATTTGTGTTAGTATCTAACAATCAGAAGCAAAACATTTGAAATTATATGATTTTCTACACAGAAACATCTATTGCTCATGAGATTTGAAACCAGAGAATTATGTCAAATCTTAGGTTTTGCCAGAAAGCCGAAGTGTGGCACCAGTCTAGGAACTTATTCATAAACACTGCTGCAAACTCAGTGTAGTTTAGGTTAGATAAATATAAAACAGTATCTGTTCAGTGAGCTGGACTCTGGACATATACATACAGAAGTTGGCTTAAATATATTTTCAAAACATTCACAAGAGAAGTTGTACACTGATGATGAAGGCATTGTGCATATCAAATTTTAAGTTAGTATAATTTTATACACAAACCTGTCTCACTATAGAAAAAAAAAAAAAGGGGTGGACAATTAAGATGTTTTTTGTTTCTTCGGTGCCTAACGAGTTTGGGTATAGAGGGGAGAAAAGAGGACTATCTTCTATGCATTGACTTTACAGGCAAGAAATAGACCCTGAAATTGTTTAATCCTGTCTGTCTGTCTTCCCTTTCTCTGGGGAGCTTTTGTGCTACATGTGACAACTAGTGGTGTTTCACAGAAAGACATCAAGGTAACAGCAGCACTCGTGCCGGCTCCAAGTGAGCTCTCACATCTTGCTGTCCAAACAGCAAGACCCTTAGCTATGGAGCAAAAGGGAAAAAAAGCCTTCCAATTTGGCAGTAGGATTAATGTTTATCCCTTAATCCTAAAGCAGGCTTGCAGCAATTAGAGATGAGATTCTCACAGACTCATCAAAAGATACTGCTACCTTTATTATATATATACACCGTACTCATCTGTGATTCAGTGACCTACAGAAAATGGCCTGGATGTTTTTGTGAGAATTAGCATGAGCAAAAAATTTGCTTTTTTTTTTTTGGTGCAGATAATAAAAAAATTACCAGCTTTACCTTTCTCTTTACCTCTTTATCCACTGACCACATCCCAAACACCTGACTGACTGGTATTCTTGGTCACAGCACGTCATCTTGCGGAATTAATTCAAGCAGTCTGTGCTTGTGGTAGGCACACAATTCCTCCGGCTGACTGAGTTGTCATTTAGGAAGAATCTCCTTAAGAGGATATCATGGTCACTGCAATAGGTTATTGAAAAGATTTTTAAACTCCTTAAATCTTATTGACGATTATAGCAGACTGGTCTTCTTTAGAGTCCACCCAGATAGCCAGTGCCACTGCTGCTTGGTTCCCCCAAACCTGTGGCTGACAACTGAGAACCGCTTAGCCCCGCTGCCCGTTTTCCTGCGCGCTTACAGTACACGCCTGGGCACTGCCACTGGCGTGTGCTGGTTCGTACTTGACCTGGGTTATGTGGTGGAAGCACGGGAGGCTGCTGAAGAGAGTGACCATGCTACTGAATGCTGCACAAAACCACTTCTGAGACCGAAACTTTCCTTTCAGGTCACTCTCTTAAAAAGCAAGCAAATACTCTCGGTCATCACCAAGGACAAAAATAGGGTATGTAACCCATTCTTTGTTTATGTTGGCTGCAGTGCATTTTTGTTGGGGATGTGGAAATGGGAATGGCAAGTGCCTTCTAACTCTCCATGTGGGAGTTGTTACTCATAACTTCTTTCCTGGCTTGTGTACACTGAAAAGGAGACAGTCTTAGTCCTCCTCTTCAGCTATACTTCAGGCTCTGCTTAGTGACAGCCTCTGTGGGTGTCCTAGGGTGTACACAGCTGTGCTGAGACAGACAGGCACTACTACAACATCCACTCACAGGTACTGCCAGCTCCTTTCCTTTTCTGCTGTGCTAGTGGAGGTTTCAGGGTGATTTAAAAGCAAGTTAACAAAACTGAGTTTCTAAAAAAGTTAGGGCAGTAGTGTTAGTCAGTTCCAGACAACTCACAGCATCTGCATTGGCCTTCCCTGATCCAGGCACACACTCCCTGAGGAGGCTGAGACCAGAGCGAGAGTATTTGCATTCTGTGTGCACTCACTTGCTGCCTTTAGATCTAGGTAGAATATCCACTCTGCATTGTAAAATTTCTTTCCGTTGCTCAAAAACATACCCTGCTTAGGACTTTACATCCCAAAAGCTTTTGCTGCATTTTTACTTTCCCCTTCTACTTTCCCCCTTCCCTTCACCACTTACTCCTTCTGACATCAGTGCAGCAGAAGGAAATAAAATCTCACCAGCTGAGCTCTGGTTCTCTAAATTTCATTGCTCCAGTTTTCAGTAACAGATGAAGCATTTACACATCCCTTCATCTCCACGTCCATGCACAGGCACGTAACTGAGTGGGATGGTTTTCATTTTGTGGGAGGAATATTCTTCCCAAAAGGTTTTAGGTGCTCACGTACAATGGTGAAGGGTTGTATAAAATGCTACATGGAGGGATTCTCTTAAATTAAAAATCATTGCTGTCCTCATGAAAGCAGTAAGAGGCATCTCACTGCCAGCATCCTCTTCCTGCTCATGGAGGGCCAAGATTCAGGAGAAAAGGTAGTAACTTACACAGAAAAAAATGAGGGATCAAAGAGTTTACGAATGAAATCTTCCTTGTCACCAAACCAGAGTGGATGTAGAGTGTAACAACTGTTAAAGAGATGGTTAGAGACTTCTTTAGCTTACAAGAATGTGGAAAAGCAAATAAGTAAAAGCAAAGGTGGCTAGAAATATTTCACCATTTTCTTATTTTCTAATGATAAAAATAAAACTACATCTGTACATTTAAAAATAAGAACATTTTCTAATACTTCCACTCTAAACATTTTGAGCTTTTTCTTGTGGTAAGTTGACACACATCTATTAAATTTTGACTTCTAAAGTACTTTGTCACTGCTTTTGGTGGTGAAGTGATTTTGCCCAAACTGTAAAAACCAGCCATAGTGTTTGGGCAAATACAAGGAATGGAAATGTAAATGTCTGGAAGATAAATGTAATTTAAAACTATTTGTGCTAAACATATGTTGGTGTCAACAAGAACCACTGTAATAGTTACTAAATAATAAAAGGGAGACTTGGTGTTTTGTTTTCCTGTCTCAAAGAGAAAAGTAAACAAGATCTTGAATGACCTGCTGTATGTTTAGTTGTGTCTTATTTTAATAACCTACTACATTTTTTAGTCATAAAACCAAACATTATATATATATATATGCAGCACATCCTAAATTCCTTAGTGAGACAAAATGTGAGTGAAATTTGAATGCCAGGACTTAAGAATTCAGCACTCTATCCTATATTCATATTTCTTTTTACTTTCAAGAGTCAGATCTTGTCCCAAAACCATAAAATTGTCTTAAAAAATTACAAGATTAGTCTTTCAAGTTGCAAGTTACGTGTGTTTCCCAAATGGTGTTTGAGCCTCTTTGGTGGAAATTTGCAGACTTACCCTAGTAGTCACAGCTGTTACAAGTTCAGGTTTTAGTATAATCATATGACTTTGAGAATGTCCTTGAAAATGCAAAGTACAGTGAGATTGTGTTAGTTATGAGATTCAATGGTCCTAGAATATCCTTGTACTTCCTATTTAGCAGATAGTCTCTAAAAAATGGCTCACACTTTCACTTGGTATTTGCAATGGGAATATCATAGTGGTTTCTGCTAATGTGCTTTTTCATTTCCCGGAAATCACTTTGTATGATGGCAAGAAGTGTAAGATGATTTTAGTTCAAGTGCAATATTCTGCGTAGAATTTTGTACTTGTGCTTTAAAGAAGCAGTGTTCTCACATCATAATAATAATTAGTGGGATTTACCTCTTTTCGATTACTGGCTCAAAGGCCAACTTTTTTCCTCTCTGAAGTAGATTCACTTTGCAGACGTTAGATAGCCATTGGGAGTTTGGTTCGACAAGGATTTACACCTACCATTTAAGCAGATTGTGCCTGGAGGTCACAAAAATTATTCATTGTGTTGTCATTTCATTTCAATAAATGCTTTTTTAAAAGGAGAGGCAGATGGTTGCAGTCCTACTTAGAAGGTTTTTTAAACTAGGGTACATGAACAACCACTTCAGGGCTAATAATTTGCTCTGTTCTTTACCATGCTCAATAAAAAAGACCTTCCTTCCTCTGAAGAGGTATTTGTCTCAGATAAAGAGAGAGAAACAGGCAGACAGATGGCATCATGCAAGGAAAATCTAGAGTGGGAATAAATTAATAAATGGATTCATCAGTGAGCTGCATAAATGATGTTAGGCACTTTTGTGTATAACTTAGGAATTTACAGTTCAGGAAATGTAGTTTTCATAAAACGTGAAATCTTGGAGCACAGTTTCAGGCTACTGTGTTTTTTTCTTTTACTTCACTGTTAGCCTTGTTCCTGCCTATACTTTCAAAACTATTTTACAACCCTTTCAAGAACAATTTTGTATTGCAGGGCTAATCTGAGGCTCAAGGAGCCCCAAAAGAGGTCCCCCTTTTAAAAATTCATGACTGTTAGGCACTTCTGTGTGGCAGCAAGCCGAATCCAAATAGCATGATTGCCCTCACAAGGAGAGCGCTTGGGGAAAGAGCAGCATTGGCCTGCCTGTTGAGATGGCTTGATGGCTGCACTTTACTTTGGTAAGCTGAACTGTTTAAACCTGTTTGGATAACTCATTAAGGAATTAAGCCAATATTCCAGCATTATCAGTTCCATGACTCAAATTAAATGGCTAGGCCAAGATTTTCACACTTAACCTAGTGGGGTTTTGGTGCCACCCTTAAGGTACTTAAAGGAGGGTTACTTTTGAGGTTGTAGGAGGTGCTTGCATCTCTTTGGGATCCATCTTCCAACCAGCCAGCCTGCCAGATGATGCCTGTTAGACTTCAGAGAAAGGATAAATCTCAAATCACTAGTAATTTTCAGTGTGACATTAGTCTTTTATTCTACAACTGTTAAAAATGTGCTCTTGTACAATTTACTGTATAGATAGCCAACTACAGAATTAATGCTTACTGTTTTCACTTTTTTTTTTTCACATAGATTCGTGATGTTACATCAACAGCTAGTGCTTGTCTTTGGAATATCACTAACTAGTAATATATGTGCATTTAGAAGCTGTTATTCAGAAGCCCAAGTCTCCCTATATTATTTCTGCAACCTTACAGATATTCCACTTGTGCCAAAGGATACAGTGAAGCTTTTGCTAACTTTCAACTATATCACACAAGTGACTGCAACTTCATTTCCACTGCTGGAGCACTTGTTGCTCTTGGAAATCGGAATGCAGTATGTCTATCCTGTGACCATAGGAAAAGGAGCTTTCAGGAACCTGCCAAACCTTCGTGTCTTAGACTTGGGACACAATAGGATTCTTCAACTGGATCTTGATGCTTTTGTGGGCTTGCCAAGTCTGACTGTACTCCGTCTGTTTCAGAACTACCTTGGAGATTCCATCCTAGAGGAAAGTTACTTTCAAGATCTGAGCTCGTTAGAAGATTTGAACCTTTCAGGGAACCAAATCACAAAACTTCAGCCTCATCCCTTATTTTATAATCTAACATTCTTGAAAACCGTGGACCTGAAATTCAACAAGATATCCAACCTGTGTGAAAGCAATCTTACCAGCTTCCGAGGAAAACACTTTTTATTTTTTAGCCTCAGTTCTAATAATTTGTACAAGACAGATGAAATGGCCTGGGCCAAATGCCCAAATCCTTTCAGAAATATTACGTTTAACTCACTAGACCTTAGTGACAATGGCTGGAGCACAGAGAATGTCCAATATTTCTCTACAGCCATCAAAGGGACTCAAATCGGTTCTTTGATATTTAGGTCTCATACAATGGGTTCAGGATTTGGCTTTAATAATTTAAAAAATCCAGATAATGATACGTTTGCAGGACTGGCAAGAAGTGATCTTCGTTTGCTTGATATTTCAAATGGTTACATTTTCTCTCTCAATTCTTTAATCTTTCAAAGCCTTGGCAATCTGGAATTGCTGAATCTTTTCAAAAACAAGATAAATCAAATCCAAAGGCAGGCATTTTTTGGCTTAGGAAACCTAAAAACTCTCAATCTCTCAAGTAATCTTTTAGGTGAGTTGTACGATTATACTTTTGAGGGCCTAAATAGTGTGATGTATATTGATTTACAGCAAAATCATATCGGGATGATTGGTGAAAAATCATTCAGTAATTTAGTAAGTCTGAAAATAATTGATCTCCGAGACAACGCCATTAAAAAATTGCCTACCTTTCCACATCTGACCTCTGCCTTTTTAGGTGACAATAAGCTGATGTCTGTAGCTGACACAAAAATAGCGGCAACACACCTTGAATTCGAAAGAAATTGGTTGGCAAACCTGGGTGACCTGTATAGTCTTTTCCAAGTTCCAGATGTGCAGTATATCTTCTTAAAACAGAATCGCTTCTCTTACTGTGTGAAAAGTGATAATGTTATAGAAAACAGTCAGCTAATCTATGTGGATTTAGGTGAAAATATGCTACAGCTTGTATGGGAGAGAGATTTATGTTTGGATGTGTTCGGGGCACTGTCCAAACTTCAGGTTCTACATCTAAATAACAACTACCTTAGTGCTCTTCCACAGGAGATTTTCAGAGGTCTAACATCTCTGAAAAGACTTAATTTAGCTTCCAATCTATTGTCTCATCTTTCTCCTGGGATTTTTCCACAAAGCCTAACAAACCTAAACTTATCTGGAAACCAGCTTTTTTCCCCTGAGCCCGGAGTCTTTATGACTTTGAGTATTTTGGATATATCACATAATAAGTATGTCTGTGATTGTACTTTAAAGAGCCTACTAGTGTGGCTAAATGAAACCAATGTAACCCTGGCTGGCTCACAATCTGACAGGTACTGTGTGTACCCACCTGCATTTGCAGGGGTGTTACTGTCGTCTCTGACATATGATGGTTGCAACGAAGATGAACTCCAGCAGACACTCAGGTTCTCAGTATTCCTCTTCACCTCCATCACTCTTCTGATGTTTCTTATGGCAGTCATCATTTTTACTCGCTGTCGGGGGATTTGTTTTGTCTGGTATAAAACTATCACCAAAAAAATGATAGGCAGCCATCCACAAGTAGCAGATAAAAGTGAATACAGATATGATGCATATTTGTGCTACAGCAAAAATGACTTTGAATGGGTCCAGAATTCTTTGCTAAAGCACCTGGATTCCCAGTATTTTGATAAAAACAGATTTACCTTGTGCTTTGAGGAAAGAGATTTCTTGCCTGGGGAAGAACATATCGATAATATTCGTGATGCCATTTGCAACAGCAGGAAAACAATTTGCATTGTGACCAGGCAGTTTCTCAAAGATGGGTGGTGTGTGGAAGCCTTTAATTTTGCCCAGAGCAGGTACTTTTGTGATCTGAAAGATGTCCTCATTATGGTAGTGGTTGGGTCACTTTCTCAATATCAACTGATGAAACACAAACCAATTAGAATCTTTTTACAAAGGAGTCAGTATTTGCGGTGGCCTGAAGATTATCAAGATGTAGACTGGTTTTTAAATAACCTTTCTTACCAAATTCTGAAGGAAAAAAAAGTACTAAGGAAAGCCAGTGGTATAGAGCTGCGGACTGTAGCAACAGTCTCACATTGATGGGGTATGGGTTGCTGGCTTTCTAAATACCCCATTTTGAGCTGTGCTATGGCAGGAATAAACAAGTTTGCTTTATATTTCCTTGAAAAAGCAGGTAGAAAGATAACTAGTTTAGTATAAACCCTACTAAACATGGAGACAGCTTGAAAGCACCCAGCAAATATATGAAAGTGCAATTATTTTATGGACAGACACACGTTTTCAGGAGAACCAAATGACTCAGAGATGCTGCACATTTTGGATGCTCAGCTTCAGACACTTTAGTCCTGATTTTCAGAGTACTACTTACAAGTCTGTTTCAGTTAGAGAAGGATGCCTTTTTTTTTTTTTTTTTTTTTAAGAGCCCATGGTACTGTACCGGAGTGACCAAGTATGCTTTCATGTATGGTCAAGCCTGACCATCAGTTCATGGATTACTTACTCCTATGCTTTCTGAAGTCTCTAACTTTTCATGCTCTGTTTCAAAGTAGAATCACTACTTTGCACCTTTATGCTTTAAACTGCTGTAACACAGATTTCATTTATTTGTTTTCTACACAATTAGCCTCAGCTTCTCGACTGGAACATACAAACTTTGAACCTCCCTCATCCCCTTCACCTCTAGAACTTCTCTGCATCGTGGTAAAACTACAGTCATAGGTCTGCTTCATTTGCTGCTGTTTCAGCCTGGTGCTTTTCCAGTTGAGCTGCCTCCTGCCCTGCAGAGGAGCAGGCATCCCCTTCAGGTCTGAAGCAAGCCTGGTCTTGAAAAGCAAGCAAGAAACTACCTCAGCAGCCGTGTGGGCTGTACACCGGTGACACGGCCAGTAGCCCAGGGACTGCCAGACAGCTTTCACATTCTGGGAGTGGAAAGTACAGGCAACTGCTGTGTAATTTGGGTTGTTCTCTGTACATCTTGTGTGCTGAGCAATTCTAAGGTGGTGGTCCGCTTCTGTTGATATATGTTTCTAGAGTCATTATTGCCTGGTACTCTCTTACCTCTCTAATGATTTTACCCCTGTTTGTTCAGGTATGTGTCTCCAGGAGGTTGTTCAGGGTCATTTTAATAAAAGTCTGACTCACTGTTACGGAACCTGCACCTGTTATTTTGATGGTGACATATCCCTTGAGTGTACCTGTTCATCTCGGTTTATACACTGTTTCAACGAAAGCTTACCCAAATAATTTCAGTATGGCCTCAGTGAGTTTTTCGCTGTAGTGAGGAAGCAGGAATGGGGGGTTTAATAAGCTCTTTGTCTTGACCTTAGCTGCAAACAAATAATACCATCCTAACTATTTTAATAGAGGTGAAAAAGTACAACCCACTTCATGTGAACGCAGTTGTTTGAATGTAGAGGTGCCCGTGGCTGATCTAATTTACTCTCAGTGCACCAGTACACGGGATTTCTGTTGACAAAATTACTACAGTAAAATGCTACTTCCTTCTCAATCAGCGTAGCCATTCGGGAACAGAGAAGGGCTCCCCCCGGCAAGCTTTCCCGGCAGGACAGGGCGCAGGGGTGCAGGCAAGAGGGGGTTTGCCTGTGCTGGGGGAGCCCTGGGTGTCGCTGTCGGCTCAGGGAACCGTGGGCGCTGCCGCTCGCCTGCTGCTGCGGGCTGGGGGGGGCTGCAAAACAGCCGGCAGCCCCCGCTTGCCAGAGCCCCCACGGGCTGCCACACCTGCACTTCAACTCTGCATTTCTCTGAAAAGGTTCAACCTTCTTTTTTTGTTTTTTTTTTTTTTTTCTTTTTCCCCACAGCCAGTGCAAATATTTATAGGCATCCTTTAAAGTCAGAGGTTATACCAGGGAGTATTTCACAGAAAAAAAAAACACTGACAGATAGCCAAAGCAGGAATGAATCTGTACAATGAAGATCACGTGCAGGACTAGGCTGTTAGCCTAAGGAGCTGTACATGCTGTAAGAGATGGGCATTTTAAAAGCATACTTAAGAAATTATATTTGAAGGAATGTCACAAAATATTTTTGGTCAAGTGTTAATTGAGAGCCCTCTCCAGTTAGGGCTTCGTTGTATACTTACATGACACTCCTATCACTTCAGATACTTAAAACTTAATTCTGCTAACCTATGTATGTGGGAATGACAAGTAGATACAGAGATTGCTGAGCTGGCTTTAAGGGAGCCTTTTCTGTTTTGTTTGAAATGCTTCTGGCTACATAAAACTTGCATTTACTTCAGTCTTTGGAAAGGTCTGACTTTTTACAGAAAGGTTTTAATGTTTGGATGAAATTTCATTGTCTGCCTCCATGCTTATATACCATTTTGGAAACTTAAAGAGATCAAACCTGTGTCAGGAGCAGCTGGGAAAACTTCTTTCTACTACAAAGGCAGCTTAGAAACATAGAAGTAGCCTAGCCCCTATCTCCAAGGGGTCTGCAAAAGGCAGTAAAAGGATTTTGGAGACCATGCTACTGAACCATTCCTGATTGTGAAGCGATTTGCAGGCATATGAACAACTGCAGTGTCAAATCTTTAAGAGATCCGAAATAACTGTATTTTTTACTCACTGTGAAACCACTACAAACCTGAGACTCTCAGAACAAATGCAGTTGGTACAGGCTGTCCTATACAATGAAAAAAAAAAAACTTCAAATAGATCATAGAACCCTGATCACCACCTCTGTAGAGTCACCTATTCTTAAATGACAAAGCCTGGAGAATTGTCGAGAAAGGGCTTGTGCAGACTTTATACTCTTCTGCTCAGCAGGAACCTCAAAAGCATCGTGGGCAAAAATGGAGAATGACTATGCTTGATGAATTAAGGCCATAAATTGAGCCTCAGCCTCATAACTATTGATCAGATTCCCTTCAAGTTCACTGGGAACATTACTGCTTTATTAGAATTTTATGGTTCCTTAGTTAAGGATACTCTCATCAGTTTTACTCACCTTCCTCAGTGAAAGACATTAACTTGTTGGAGAGTATCCAGCACAGGGTGTGAAGTGTGGCACTGGCTCTAAAGCAAGCTATTAAGACGGAAGTTGGTGAATTTATTTGCAGTAGCAGCACAGGGAATGTTCAGAGGACAGCAGCTCAGTGCCACATGGTAACAGCTCAGATATTTCATAGTAAAAGTCTACCCCCACCATTGCAAGATGTATTATAAACGATAACTGGTCAAGCAGGCAGCGTTGTTCAACAGCAACAGCTAGCCAGCCTGTCGTAGTCCAAAGATGACATGGCCTCCTACTCAAAATCAAGACACTTGCGACTGGAACCCAGATTCTACAAACATATTCCTGTGGAGGGTAACAGAAGCCAACAATGATATGCCCACATATTATTTCACATTTTACATGATTGTTATTTCACATGCAGTGAAATCAGGCTCCCTCCTCCTCCCATCTGACATGCACACTAGTCTCAGCAAATTGTTGTCCAATTATATTTTCTAATCCCTCTTCAGAGAGACTGTTCCACATGCTGGTAGATCTACCACCTTGTTAATTTACAGTTACTATCCATCACTGCTCCCACCCCAATAGCTGTACTACCTGTGTGGAGAACACTAGCACAGGTAAGACTACAGAGAGTTCAATCTCCTGAGTGGGACACTCCTACATATGTTGCTCAGAATCACTCTGCCTTTCATTTTCTTGTGTCACATCATTAACTCAGCTCATTTGCTGACTTCTGGGTCTTTTTCAGCATGACAGCTCTCCTACTTCTCCCTGCCAGAGGCCATCTGGGTTTCAGATTATTCGATCCCACCTTCTCAATTTCATGTGGTGCTGATTATTTTACAATGGCTTTAACATGTTCTCTTCTTACTGCGAATAGCAGCAGTCCAGTTAACTCACAAAGCGAGGCCCATACCTGGTAAAATACTTAGAAACGAAGAGCAATACACAACTGAGTGGCAGGGGTGAGTGGTGAAGATGCTGCAAATGGAAGCAGAAGCAGCACATGCGAATCTCTGCGAAAGCAGCGAAGTTAGGAAGGCTGACACATGGCCATCTCAACATCTTGCCACCAGAAGGGGACTTGGGTTCCATGAGAAGTCAAAGCTTGAAGCAAGCAAAGACAGACAAGGAGCAGGATACCTCTAGGGTTTGGCTCTACAAACATGACGAAACATAGTGCCCCAGTACAGCAAGCAGATTTAACTTAAAATAGGCCTAGCACTAGCAAATATTTATGAGGTTTCTCTGCATTATACAGTACTGCCAACAGCAAACATGCAATTCTGTAAAATAAGGCTTCCAAAATCAGAAGACTGGTGTAAAACCCCCAAAAGATTAGAAAACAATTACAAATGTCTGGTAATTGACCCTGTAAGACAACATTTTTATGGTTTCTCCATGATCATAAGAAGGTGGATATTCATGCAGTCCATGAATACAAGAGCCAAGGCTTTAAGAAAAAATCTGAGTATTTCAGGACTTCTGCTTAACTGTGAAGTATGTCCTAATTAGTCAGGCCTTGAATAAGGAAGAGCTTTAGGCAGATGGTGAAGAAAATACAGTCTGGCCTTTCCAGCTTCCCGGCCTGCTCTGGGTAGTGGTCTTCTATCACATATATCCTCTTCCATTCTCGCAATATTTTTTAGTTGTTGCTGATCAGTAGGATCAGCAAAACTACAGTCTGGACTGCAGTGAAATAACCTGAAGGAGAAGTGACAATAGTAAGACTTCCCATACAGACAAATTTACATCAAAAGTCCCTACAAGGCCTCTTTTGGTGGTTATTCCATTAGGCTGCTTGTCAGTCTCTGAGAAGGTGTCAAACACCTTTAGGATGCCAAACACCTTGTTCTGCTTTTGGGTACAAGCACTTTTTCATACACAGCTTTTAGTTACCTGTTTTCTGCTTTGTTCCTCACAAAGATGAGCTGAGCATCTTGATCTTAAGTCTCACTGTGCTGTTCCTGGCAGCCATCAAAGATTCCACATACGTGGAACACAACTGCAGGTGCTGCTCCACCAGTACATCCTTCAACTAAACAAAAGCTGCAAAAGCAAAGTTGAGAAGCTGAGATTTACCAGAAGACCACAGTGAGCACTGACTTGAACCACAGAAAACACTGGATGCCATGCACGTACCAGAAATTTTAAGTTCAGCCTTGTTAGTCAACCTTGCATCACATCTAGGCATTAGTTTTGGGGCCGTCCATCTCCTGCATGATTCCTTCTTGCTGTTTGTACAGATTGACAGGAGGCTTCTCTACCCTTTATAACCTTAACTTTCCTTTCTGTATTCTGTATATACAGTGTAGTGGGTGCCAAAAATAAGTCTACATTTCCTTTCCCAATATGCAAAAGTCAGTATATAGGTATGACATGAGTTATTTCATAGTGCAAAGACTGTCTATTCATAGCAGACTCTGTTTGTTTCAGACATGCGGTTTTCCTTCCTTTTAGATAGCCTATTGTTTTGTCTTTTCCATTTATATTAAAAATAAAATCTTTGAAAACTGCAAGTAAGAGAGAAAAATATATTTCTTCTGAAACTAACAATTCTCCAAACAGGAAGGTTAGCTTTTTCCTGTTTAGACATTATGTTCAAAGAAAGGAAGTCGGGATTTTCAATGATAATAATAATTACATGGTATGTAAACATCAGTAAGTATCAAAGAAGGCTTCACTCTTTATTTAGTGTGTCCCAGTTGCTACATTGCTGTCTGGAATATCTTTACCAGTTCACCAGCCTCTTGCAAAAATGGATTTATGAGCAGTCATTGTACTGGGTTGATCACCTGTATGCAAATTTCCACAGTATAAGAGCAGGATTATCAGGCTGCCTCAAGCCTGCTTGGAGAGCAGTGATGGAGAGTAGCGGAGCAAACAGAGAATCCTCATACGAAACAACAGTTTGATGCAGCAGGGTTTTTCTGCATCGGGATTACACACACCAGGCTGCGTAATGTTCTCATGTTGCCACCCAAAGCAAAGCACTTCAAGCCATGAAGTCTGTTGATGCTGTTCCTAAAAACCAAATTGGCAGTGTAATTTCAGCACTGTGATTAGATGCAATATCAAAACATAGATATTTGGTACATGTGGTATCTTGTAATAGTGAAACCAGAAGTGCTTTATAAAGATAAGTGCATTTCATAATCTTCTCTTT